TGAAAAAAAAATGGAATTAGCGTGTACAACATTCTTCCAAATCTGACTCGACACATTTACATATTTTACTACTTAAATTTTAATAAAATTTTAAACAGCCTGCAGCTCAGTTGAAAAGTCACTGATTTTTTATAGCGTGATCGTTAGTTGCAGCTGAGTCATTTATGGCTTCACGGTTGCGCAAAGGTTCACATAATTTTTTATTTTTTTCAGAATCTGGATATTGCAAACCATTTATTTTTGGCGATTTTTAAAATATGAGACACAGAATACGGTGATTTTGATGCAATATCATGATTTTAAGCTGATATTTAACCGAACATTGCAGATAATCAGCTAAAAAGTTGCAGAATTTTTGTGACATGACTGTTGGTCACAGCTGTGTAGCTAGTACTTTCTCTGGTGTTCAGATAACTGCAGAATTTTTTGTTTTTTACGGAATCTAGTTTAATCAAACAGCTTATTTTTGGCGAATTTTTTAATGAGACGTAGATTAAAGGGATTTTTATTAACTGTCACGAATTTAAGGTTGATTTGGTTACGTTTTCCCGCGCATCAGCTGAAAAGTTCCTGAGTTTTTGTCATGTGACGATCAGTCGAAGCCGAGTAACTGATTGGCTTCACGTTTGAGTCGAGAAATGGAGAATTTTTAGTTTTTTACAGAATCTTATTAGAGCAAACGGTTTATTTATGGCGATAAAATCAGATATAGAATAAAATGATTTTTTAAATGAGCAGTTTGAGGAGCGTCCAGAAGCTGTTTCCAGCTCTGATAAATGCTGTCATTTGACCATTTTTTAATAAGTTAACACATCTTTCCTCCCACTGACAGGTTTTGGGGTTCAGAGAGTTAAATTAGAGCGTTTCTTTGGTAGTAAATGAGGAGCAACGCGCTCCACCAACACGTTTCAATTCGTACCAGAATAGAATCGAAGCTCTGAAGCTCTCCAAAGCAGAATTTAAGCAGCAGATTGTGAGATTACTGAAACTCTCCAGAAACAGCAGCTGTTCTCCTGTTTTTTCTTTTTGTTGGTCGACGAGGACGATGAGAACGGATCTGGACGCTCTGACACGTGACAGAAAGTTAAAGAATCGAACCACAAAACAGAAAATTGAGACTCCGAAAACTAAGTTTCGTCCAAAACAAGCGACAGCAAACGTTCCTGGCGTCTTTTCTTCGTGTAGTTTGTTCTCAGAAATACCAGAAAACAGCCGGTTAACAAACTTCTGAGTCCAATCAAACAAACCAGAGTCCAGGATTTAAAACTCGCTGCTCTGGAGTCACTTTTTGGTTCATGTTTGAT